TCGGGGGACGGCGCCGCGGCGGCACGGGGTGCTGGGGCGCCCCGGTCCCGACGCAAGCGGTGCTGTGCCGGGACCAGGGGATGGCGCCGAAAGGCCGGCAGGGACAGGTTTAGCCGTGGGCGTCCGCCCTGCCGCGGGGCCCGTGGGCAGCTCGGGGTGTGCTGCGTGCGCTTGAACGCCAGGGTTGGGGGGGGGGGAACATGTGCACTAGGGACGCCAGCGCGGCCGCGCCAGGAGCGCTCGGAGCCGCCGATCCGGGAGCCGCAGGGGACTGCAAAGACACAGCAGCGACAGAACGTGGGCCACCGCCGGCGCTGTGAGGGCAACGGGGGCGAGGGGGACATGGGGGGCGGAAGAAGCGGCATCAACTGAGACAGGAGGGGGGGGGCCGCGGTGACGCGGGTGGGTGGGCTCGTAGAGGCGGGTTTACGTGCCGAGGGCGTGAGGATAAAAAAACAGGGGGCGGGGACCGCAGTGGCTGGGACAGCAGGGACCAAAGGGATAGCAAAGGCGGGGATGGCAAAGGCGGGGATGGCGGGAGTGCTGGGAGGGGCCGCGACGTCTGAAAGGGTGGCTGGGGCCGGGTGTGGCGACCGCGAGGGCGGGGGGCAGGGCGGCAGGGATCAACGAGACAGCGGGTATTGGCGCCACGGAGTCCGACGTGGAGGTGACGGGCGGGTCCCGTTCCAGACTCGCAGCAGGAGCAGAGCTCAGCGGGGCAGCTGCTGTGGGCATCCCCCTCGCAGCAAAGAACTAGCGCCCTGCAAGCTGGAATCAGCTCCGCTGCAGCCAAATCCCGGTGGGTGATACTAATAAAGTGCTTTACAACAATGCTGCTTCATGGCCCTTTTTAACGGCAGTCGCACTTTACGGCACCTTTTACGACAGTTTTGCTTTACGACACCTTTTACGACAGTTCTGCTTGACGGCACCTTTTACGACAGTTTTGCTTTACGGCACCTTTTACGACAGTTTTGCTTTACGGCAAGTTTTACGACAGTCGCACTTTACGGCACCTTTTACGACAGTTCTGCTTTACGGCACCTTTTACGACAGTTCTGCTTGACGGCACCTTTTACGACAGTCGCACTTTACGGCACCTTTTACGACAGTTCTGCTTTACGGCACCCTTTACGACAGTCGCACTTTACGGCACCTTTTACGACAGTTCTGCTTTACGGCAGTCGCACTTTACGGCATCTTTTACGACAGTCGCGCTTTACGGCACCTTTTACGACAGTCGCGCTTTACGGCATCTTTTACGACAGTCGCGCTTTACGGCACCTTTCACGACAGTCGCACTTTACGGCACCTTTTACGACAGTTTTGCTTTACGGCAAGTTTTACGACAGTCGCACTTTACGGCACCTTTTACGACAGTTCTGCTTTACGGCACTTTTTACGACAGTCGCGCTTTACGGCACCTTTTACGACAGTCGCGCTTTACGGCACCTTTTACGACAGTCGCGCTTTACGGCACCTTTTACGACAGTCGCACTTTACGACACCTTTTACGACAGTTTTGCTTTACGGCACCTTTTACGACAGTCGCACTTTACGGCACCTTTTACGACAGTCGCGCTTTACGGCACCTTTTACGACAGTTCTGATTTACGGCACCTTTTACGACAGTTCTGCTTTACGGCACCTTTTACGACAGTTCTGCTTTACGGCAGTCGCACTTTACGGCATCTTTTACGACAGTCGCGCTTTACGGCACCTTTCACGACAGTCGCGCTTTACGGCACCTTTTACGACAGTCGCGCTTTACGGCACCTTTCACGACAGTCGCGCTTTACGGCATCTTTTACGACAGTCGCGCTTTACGGCACCTTTTACGACAGTCGCGCTTTACGGCACCTTTTACGACAGTCGCGCTTTACGGCACCTTTTACGACAGTTCTGCTTTACGACAGTCGCGCTTTACGGCATCTTTTACGACAGTCGCGCTTTACGGCACCTTTTACGACAGTTCTGCTTTACGGCACCTTTTACGACAGTCGCGCTTTACGGCACCTTTTACGACAGTCGCGCTTTACGGCACCTTTTACGACAGTCGCGCTTTACGGCACCTTTTACGACAGTCGCGCTTTACGGCACCTTTTACGACAGTTCTGCTTTACGACAGTCGCGCTTTACGGCATCTTTTACGACAGTCGCGCTTTACGGCACCTTTTACGACAGTTCTGCTTTACGGCACCTTTTACGACAGTTCTGCTTTACGGCACCTTTTACGACAGTTCTGCTTTACGGCACCTTTTACGACAGTTCTGCTTTACGACAGTCGCGCTTTACGGCATCTTTTACGACAGTCGCGCTTTACGGCATCTTTTACGACAGTCGCGCTTTACGGCACCTTTTACGACAGTTCTGCTTTACGGCACCTTTTACGACAGTTCTGCTTTACGGCACCTTTTACGACAGTTCTGCTTTACGGCACCTTTTACGACAGTTCTGCTTTACGACAGTCGCGCTTTACGGCATCTTTTACGACAGTCGCGCTTTACGGCATCTTTTACGACAGTCGCGCTTTACGGCACCTTTTACGACAGTTCTGCTTTACGACAGTCGCGCTTTACGGCATCTTTTACGACAGTCGCGCTTTACGGCACCTTTTACGACAGTTCTGCTTTACGGCACCTTTTACGACAGTTCTGCTTTACGGCACCTTTTACGACAGTTCTGCTTTACGACAGTCGCGCTTTACGGCATCTTTTACGACAGTCGCGCTTTACGGCATCTTTTACGACAGTCGCGCTTTACGGCATCTTTTACGACAGTCGCGCTTTACGGCACCTTTCACGACAGTCGCACTTTACGGCACCTTTTACGACAGTTCTGCTTTACGGCAGTCGCACTTTACGGCACCTTTTACGACAGTTCTGCTTTACGGCAGTCGCACTTTACGGCACCTTTTACGACAGTTCTGCTTTACGGCACCTTTTACGACAGTTGTGCTTTACGGCACCTTTTACGACAGTTCTGCTTTACGGCACCTTTTACGACAGTTCTGTTTTACGGCACCTTTTACGACAGTTCTGTTTTACGGCACCTTTTACGACAGTTCTGCTTTACGGCACCTTTTACGACAGTTCTGCTTTACGGCAGTCGCACTTTACGGCACCTTTTACGACAGTTTTGCTTTACGGCACCTTTTACGACAGTCGCGCTTTACGGCTATTTTCGCGATTTTACGGCATCTTTTTAGGGCAATTTTCACGATTTTTTTCGGCAATTTTTTTTACGGCAATTTTTGCGATTCTACTGCATGTTTTTTACGGCAATTTTCGCAATTTTACAGCATTTTTTACCGCAATTTTACGGCATTTTTTAACGGCAATTTTTGCGATTTCACGGCATGTTTTTTTACGGCAATTTTTGCGATTTTACGACTTTTTTTTTACGGCAATTTTCGCGATTTTACGGCTTTTTTTTTTACGACAATTTTCGCGATTTTACGGCTTTTTTTTAGGGCAATTTTCGCGATTTTTTCGGCAATTTTTTACGGCAATTTTTGCGATTTTACGGCATGGTTTTTTTACGGCAATTTTTGCGATTTTACGGCATGGTTTTTTTACGGCAATTTTCGCGATTTTACGGCTTTTTTTTACGACAATTTTCGCGATTTTTTCGGCAATTTTTTACGGCAATTTTTGCGATTTTACGGCATGGTTTTTTTTCGGCAATTTTTGCGATTTTACGGCATGGTTTTTTTACGGCAATTTTTTGCGATTTTACGGCCTTTTTTTAGGGCAATTTTCGCGATTTTACGGCATGGTTTTTTTAGGGAAATTTTTTCGATTTTACGGCATGGTTTTTATAGGGCAATGTATGCGATTTTACGGCATTTTTTTTTTTTTAGGGCAATTTTCGCGATTTTACGGCATTTTTTTAGGGCAATTTTCGCCATTTTTTCGGCAATTTTTTTTTACGGCAATTTTTGCGATTTTACGGAATGGTTTTTTTACGGCAATTTTCGCAATTTTACGGCAATTTTTTGCGATTTTACGGCATTTTTTAGGGCAATTTTCCTGATTTTACGGCATGTTTTTTATAGGGCAATTTATGCGATTTTACGGCTTTTTTTTTTTTAGGGCAATTTTCTTGATTTTACGGCATTTTTTTTTAGGGCAATTTTCCCGATTTTATGGCGGTTTTTTTTACGGCAATTTTCGCGATTTTATGGCATTATTTTTTACTGCAATTTTAGCGCTTTTACGGCATTTTTGCCTTACGGCAATTTTTTACGACACTTTAACAACAGTTGCGCTTTTACGGCAGTTTTACAACAGTCGTGCTTTACAACACAGTACACATTACAGATTTACACTCTCACATTACATTACAGTTTTACATACTGCATTACAGTTTCACAGTACAGTTTCACATTACAGCACTTACTTTTACCGCACTTAACGGTTTGGCGTTTTTTTGGGGATTTTAAAATTTATTTAATTATTTATTATTATTGTATTTTATTATTATTTATATATTATTTATATTATTAATTACTTTTTATTATTGTATTTATACAGTTTTCAATTTTTTTTAATTAAAGAATAACTTTAAAATTAAAAAAATACAATACAGTAAAATAAAATAAATGCTTAAAAAATAGAAAAACTGTTAGGTTTTATTTTATTTGGTGCTGCCCAAAACGACTTAAGCCAGTGAGTGTGGTGGTGTTTGAGGGTCCCCAGGATGACGGAAGAGACGAGAATCTTGACTCCACCTACCAAAAGGCTAAATTATTATTTTATTATCTTTATTATATTAAAAGAAATTCCTATATTAGAACTATACTAAAAGAGCAAGGAGACATCAGAGAGCTGGAAAGGAATGAATAATAAATACCTGGGACTGCTCACAGCCCCAACCCAGCTGGACCATGATTGGTCATGAAGTAGAAACAGTGCACAGGAAACCAATCCAAGATGGCCCTGTTGCTAAACCATCTCCAGCCCATACTCCACAGCCAGAAGGTTGTTATTGGTTTCATTTCTGTTTTTAGGCTTCTCAGGAGAAAAATCCCAGCGAAATTACTTTCATCAAGCACGGCAGTGCCAGGTGATGGCACAGGCAGCATCGGCGGCCGAGGTCACTGTGTCCTCCCTGCCAGCCCAGGTGTCAAAGCGAGGAGAGAATTCACCCATTGTTCACCCTGCAATACAGAGCAATACAACACAAAACACATATTACCACAAGATGATAACCTTTTTGGGTTTTCATTACATGTTGATTTATTGTTACAGGAAACCTATAACAACAAAAGCACACAAAAAACAACACTCATCTACCATTAGCACCCCCTCAAATTACACACAAACTCACCATCACTCTCATCACAACTTCTAGATTACACCCCAGCAATCATTGATCCTCGGAAACATGGGTCCCGGGAGCCTCCAAAAAATCCTCCTGCCTGACGAAAACCCTGGTCCTTGGACAGTCCACACCAAAATTCCAGCGATGAATGTCACCTTGCAGACCGACTGTGACCGAGGGAAAAAAAACCCAGCCGGGGAGGGGGGGGGGGGGGGGGGGAAGGAACCCAGGGTGGGGATTTTTTATTCTAAATTTAAAAATTAGTTGAAAAACCTGAAAAGCAAAAGTCATACGAGATTACAAACAGGGCTGGGTTGGGGGAGGAAAGGGCTAGTTCCCTTTTGCTTCAGACTCAAAGAACAGAAAAAGAAGCAAATATTTCATACCTGTGAGCATTGCAGCTCAGTTTCTTTCATTTATCTGTATAATGGGCTGGTATTTGATGTGCTTGAGGCATTTTCATTGCTTGACATATGTTGAGTTCAGAATTTTTCGCCTGGTTGGATGACAGAAATAGAAATCTTGAAGTGCAATTAAATAGTTTACTACCATTGTTTAATTAATTAAATACTGGATTAACTTGTCAAAGCAGACTTCGCTGGCATGCTAGAACAGCATTTTCTTTTTTGTTTATGAATGTAATCTATGCCTAAATGCTGTGATGATTAGTGTAATTACTTTTAATAGTACTGGATGCATTCAGGGCAGAGGGATGGACTAATTACTGAGTATTCCACAGAAAACAGTTCTTTTAATTTCCCTAATAATTTGCTGTGTGACCCTTTTCCTTCGTTTTAAATTGAAGAATGAATCCATTTTAAAGTCCTAAACTGAAGTTCAGGTCAAACTTCAATTCCATACCAGAAGAAAGCCCTGCATTGTGTCATAAGTCCAAGTTTCTAATTCAGTGGACATATTAAGAAGCAAGACCTGCAAGTAAACTTTCAACAAATGAGATGTGTGTATTGGAAAATTTTCTTTCTGCTACTATCCAGCCACCTTGCAAACCTGTGTTGTTATAAATAATTCATGTCCAATGTAAGCCCCTGACACAGTAAAAGCTCAAACGAGCAAGGGGTGAAGCTTCACTTGTATCTGCTGGTTTCCACAGGGTGAGATACACATTCCTGTACAGATAGATGAATATGCACAGACTCAGATCAAGTATGGAGAGAAGACAGACCTGTTGACTCTGCTGAAAACAAAGCAGGGTTATTTTTCTATCCTAGTTTTGGTTAATATTGTGAAGCACTACACTGAGAGCTAAGACAAGACAGTGCACTGCTGACCTCCAGTGAACCAGGTACTCAGCACCATGACCAAACTCCTCAAGGCTGCTTCTTCAGTTTCAATATCTTCCTTTGTCTGGCTGGGAGATTATCCCCTCCAACTTAATGAACTGGCAGAAGACTAACACTCGTGCAGCCCTAAGTACACAAAAATATACTACATCAGCATTATCAAGAACACTAAGTTTTGACAGAAAAAGTTATTAAAAGTAATATGACAAAAAAAAAGCAGGATGCTGTACACAAAAGTCTTTCTGTCATAGCCTAAATACAAGTAGTAGACACTTTATTTAAAGTAATTTATTCGTAAGATTAATCGCAATGCTCACATAATGCGTGCATCATTCAAAATGTGCCTTGGTGCAAAAAATACACAACTAGGACAAAATGCTTCTACAAACTAGTGAGCAGTACCAGTAAGACTAAGATGAACAAATTGAAAATGCTGAAGTTTTGGTATTTTTCAGTGACTTTTTTTTAAACCATAGTTGCTCAGCTGCTGAGTACATGTGAACATGCAGAAAGATCCAGAAAATCAGATTGAGAGTTGAAGAGAATACAAAAACCTGCAGGGAATTAATTAATTCTTACATTTTCCATTCCCTAATCAAAATCTCACAGAAGCATTCATTAAATTAAGGAAGTATCCTGATGTAAAAAAATTGCAGTGATTAATAAATAAATCTCTATTTCTTTTAGTCCAAAAGAAAGAAATAATTTTCAGCACTAAGGCTGCTCTTAAAGATAGGTACATGTGAGGAAAATATGTCTAAAAAGGGGGAGGGGAAAATCTATGCCTTTTTCTAAGCTGTTTTGATTATTAACAACTCAGTTTCAAGATAAATTCCATATGGGTAAGATACACAGCATGTTTACATTTGATGTTTACAGCTTAGGTAATTTTACAGATGTATGTATAGATAAGCACAGGGTCAGCATGGATACAGCAAACTGCTTCATACAGAGATGGAGATTTCTGATTTAGTTGCCTAGCAATAAGATCTGACTCCTGGAAGCTAACAAATACTGATTAGAAAACAGAATAGAATTATTTAATATATCACATGCATTATACAAAAAGGAGCATAAGGCTATTGAAGAAATGAAAACATTAGGCCAGAAAAAAATAAATTCTAGTCAGTGAAATTTATCCAGGAAATATGTGGTACAAAGAAACTGCAATATATAGATTAAAGAAAGCCTCAGCCTGTTCATTCTGTCAATACTTTTCATCATTCTTCCTTTAGCAGAAAGTCCAATTCCATCTTGGCTAATGGATCTGACTTTTGAATTGCTGTGTTTAATTTTGTCCAGTCTTCTCAATAGTGCTTTAAAGCAGGAGACAGAGAGAGAGATATTTTTAAAAATTGAATAGGATGAACATGATGGCATTTCTCTTCTTGGGAAACACAGCATGGTACTAATGGGAAGTTTGATGACATTTACTACACTGGTGGAGAGAAAGAAGCCGGCATTTCTGTTTTACTTTTTACAAAGAGCTTTTAAACTGCTCTGATGCCTTTTAGCACATTCATAAGGTCTCTCTCAGTTCCTCCAGGAATACAAATATTTTTCTTTCAGTACTTTAGCAGTAGAACAGGAAGATCACAAGCCAAGGATAGGCAGCCTTCCACAAGTCCAGACAGACCAGGAGTACCCACATCTTGGATCAGTACTAGCATTGGTCTTTCCCCCTTATAGTCTAAATTTAAATAGATAAGTCAACAATAAAACTGGAGAAACAGAGGCCACTGGATAGTATTCCAGCATTATAAGCAGTATGGACTTGTAATGCACTACTCAGGCATTATTTAAACCTGAAGAAAGAACATGATTCCTATTTCTGCTATTTCCAACCTTTCTTTAAAACATTCTCCTTTAACAAGCCTTTAAAACAGTACTTCCCAAATCTGTTCCTGCTGGAGCTGTCACTTAACAGTATTCCATCTGCTTGGGACAGAAAGTCAAAACATTTCTCTTGTGTCCTGTTACATCAGCATAAATCTGGAGTAACTCCCCAGACTTCCTGTGTGACGCACTTGCCCGGGGTTTGCCTACACAAAGAAGTAAACATGAAGGAAAACTCAATCTCAGCCCAGCAGCAACCCTGGCTCACTTCTGGTGGAAACATTCTTATCAGACAGAAAAGAAAAGCAGCTTTTCCCACTCTGAATATGGGTTAAACTACTCTGAACAAAGAGAATCCTAGTTAAATCGAAAGGTATAATCACATTCCATAATGAAGTGCTTTACAAAAATAAAGTATTTATTTTTTTTAAAAATAATCTTTCAGAAGCAGCATGTCTTCCATTTAGTCATAAATATGCTTCTTCTCAAACTTTGCCTAATTCAGTTTAGAGGTACTTTTAGATACTGGACACAGCTTTGCATTTTGGCATGTGGTCTCCACAATGTGACCCTTTTTCAGCTGGTCCTCCACGAGCTCCTCAAGCGCCTTTATTTTTTGTTTACTGAGCACCCACTGTTTCACCTCAACTGGTTTGTCTGTTTTCCACTTCAGTTTTTGGGTGGGGCGCTGTTGTTCAATGGCCACTGTACAAAAATGCTGTGGAGAGTCTGGAATATCAATTGTGACACCCCACTGGGCCATTGAATCTCTCCCCAACAAAGGTTCCCAATAATGTAACACAAATGGACGGATATTTGCCAATTGTCTGTTTGGTTCTTCAATTTGGATGATGTTCTTGGATCGTCTCACCAATTGCAGGCCTCCTACGCCTTGAACGTGACCAGCAACGTTTTGCAAAGGCCAATGTGCAGGCCAGTCTTGTGCTGGGATCACTGTGCAGCCTGCACCTGTGTCTACAAGCATCTCAATGCGTTTTGACTCTCCACCCCCACTGACATTACACCATAATTTAGGTTTGTTCTTTCCCAATAACTTGGACCTGGGCGACTGTGGGCCCTTGTTTTTCGGTGCCTTTAGGCAAAAACAGCACAGGGAAGCTTGTGCAACAATTTGTCCTTTAGGAAGAAACAGGGGTGGGTGGAAACAGTGCAGCCCGAGAAGGAATTGCTCAGGATCTGGTGTTGTCATTCCTGGAGCAATTTCAATCTCATGTGGTGTGTGTTTGGTGCCCCCGATGACGATGTACTTACAGTGAATACGGTGCCAAGTGCCCTTCTGTTCTGGGTTGACAGAGACAAAATGCCAGTCTGTGTCTGTGACAGTTTCAGATGGAGTGATTCTGTCAGCTGCAACCTGTAAGGCTCATTGACAGAAGACGTGGTTAACATAGGTTCACCTAAATCATAACAAAGGTTATTTTGTTTAACTTTCAACAGTGGACCAGCAGATGTGGTCTTTGAAGCATCTTCACTTACAGAAATAGTAACAGAAATAGTAACAGAAATAGTAACATTACCGCGGGCTTGGAACAGGAGCGAATGACAAAGTGGGACCCTGTATTGGGTCTACAGCTTCCTGCGCTGTATCCCTTGAATGGGAAATATTTGAGATAACACACACGGGTTTGGGGACATGCAGTGGGTGTGTCCCCACCGTGGGAACAGGGGGAGGGGACACCTGGTGACGTCACATCAGCACACGCCCCCTGGGAGGAGTAGAGGGGCGGAGCTGAGGGTACAGCAGGTAAGGGAGGGGGAGGGAAGGTGTCACGAGGAACAGGAGGGGAGGGGGACGGGGAAGGAATTTTGGGATGCTTAGGGGCATCTTGGGAAGAAGATGACCAGGTTTGAGAGGGTGCCACGTGGCATCCTCCATCTTGGGTACCCCCTAGGGACTGGGGGCCGTTTTGGGCATCACTGCTCTCTGAAAGGCTAACACGTGCTCTGGGGTTCAGAGCGGGAGACACAGGGTCTTGGAGAATATTCCACGCGGTCTGGCCAGGGCCTTGTGGACAAGGGGACTCAGGCATTTTAAAGAGCTCAGGGAGTCGATTTCCCAGCACATAATCAGAATTTGCTCTCTTTAAAATACCAAGTTTTGGGGTAAGAGGTTTAGGGCTGGAAGGGGGAGACACAGGGAGAGCAGAGGTACATGGCTTGATATTTGGCTTTTTCTCCAATCCCCTTTGTTCGAATTTGTAAACTCCAGAACACAAATTTAGCTGAAGAAGTATTCCCAGACTGGGAATTCATGCCCTACTTTATCCCAAAATTGAATATTGTGGACTTCCTCAGGAGAAGTTTGTGGGAAGTGTAGAAAAAGCCACCTTATAAACTTTCAATTTTCCTTTAGAGAACTTTACATTTGCACTGACTAAAATTCCAACAATATACACTCCTTTTTGCGCTGTGCTCAACTTCGAGCCCATATTAGATGTAAATGGCACAGAACAAAATCCCGCCGACCGATTCCAAAGCCGAAATCAGCTACCGATTTCTAAAAAGACCCCGGTTAAAAAGCGATAACCATCAGACGAAAGCTTTCACAACGCTGCTGTATATACTGCTTTTAAAATTGCCGCGGCAGCAGCAGGGAATGGGGACCCGCCCCGGCCGCGTGGAGAGACAGACAAAGCCTCCCCCGCCCGCGAACGCAGCCCCGCCGCGCCACGTGGAGAGAGCAGCCCCCGGGCACCGCGCGGCAAAGCGAAACCGGGGCCCCCCTGCGCCGCGTGTAGGGAGCAGCGCCCCCCGCCCCGCGCACCGAGAGAGAGCAGAAACCCCCCCGCACCGAGAGAGAGCAGCGCCCCGCGCCCCGAGAGAGAGCAGCATCCCCCCGCCGCCCTGCGCCCCGAGAGAGCAGCATCCCCCCGCCGCCCCACGCACCGACAGAGAGCAGCATCCCCCCGCCGCCCCACGCCCCGACAGAGAGCAGCGCCCCGCGCCCCGACAGAGAGCAGAAACCGCAACCGCCCCGCGCACCGAGAGAGAGCAGCGCCCCGCGCCCGCCCCGCGCACCGAGAGAGAGCAGCAGCGCCCCCAGCCCCGCGCACCGAGAGAGAGCAGAAACCCCGCCGCAAAAAAAGCAAAAAGGAACAAGTCTCTCTCTCAGCAGAGACGGAATTTGAGCTTCTATTCCCCAAGGAGCAAAAAACCTCACCAAAATCGAAGCTGTTGCTGGCAAAATCAGGCAGGCTGGTCTCTTCACTTTGAATACGGCCTCTAGGGCAGGAGGGGCTCCCC